CTGCCATGGCAGTGAATGGAAGGGGTGCTAAAGACGTTCTTTGTTTTTTGTTTTGTCTTTTAATGTTTTACTTCAAGCTCGGGTCTCACTGAGTCGCTAAATTGCCCAGGCTGTGTTTAAATTTTTGATCGCTGAGCCCACCAGAGTGCTGGAATTCCAACCATGTGCTACCGTGACTAACCTGCTTAGCATGGACCAGGTCCTGAGTTCTCTATGACCAGTATCAAAAAGAATTATGTTTAAAGTACCACCTTTGAGGTCCAGGTGCACAAAGTCTGTCTGAGCCTGCAGCTGGGCCAGGACAGATAAGAAGCACCTGCTGCCTCCAGCCTAGACCACTGTGGCAAGGAAAAGCACATCCCACTTGGAGAGGGGCAAGGGCAAAGGAAACCCCATCTGAGGGATGGGAATGCAGAGAGACCGAGGAAAGCTGAGGGAGATTGAAAAGCCCTCTGGTTCCCTGGCTGACATGCAAAGCTCAGGGTGACCACAGCCTGCTGCTGAGAAAGTGGAGGCCAGGATACCCTGCAGGTGACAGAGCCCAGGTCAGCTCCCAATGGTGCTAATGATGTCACAGATGAGGAAACGTGACCGTTTGCAGCGATAAACCCTACTGACTTCAGCCTCTCCTCTGCTCTCACACGATATCTGACATTCAGTGAAAACTTGTAACACACATAAGTAAGAAAAAGTCAAACCATTGTCAGGAGACAGAGTAACCAACAGGACCAGACATGGAGCTGAGGGAGCTGTTAAATGAATGTTAAAGCAGTGGTGGCGAACCTATGGCACACGTGCCGCAGCGGTCTGTTGGGATCACTGACAACTCTAAAAGGCTCGCCATTGCTGTGACAAAGGCTCTACAGGGGAAAGTGGATCATGTCCGTGCTGGTGGAGAATTTCAACAGAGAGGGGAACTCTAAGGAAACTGCAGATGAAGTACTAGAAATAAAAAAGTGTTTCTCAGTGATGCTCAGTCTTCAACAGGCCGAGCAGTCGCCACTGATGGCTGAGGGGAGAGTCAGAGAACTGAAGGATGAATCAAGAGGAATTATTCCGATTAAAAGAGAAGGGAAGGAAGAGTAAAGAAGAGATAGGCCAGAGCAGGACCATGGGATGAGCTCAGCATCTGACACACATGGAACTGGGGTCCTGGGAGAAGAGGCCCCCAGGAAGCTGGCCTCCCTGCAGGGAAAGCCATGTGGTTGAGAAAATGGCCACAAATAGTTCATGCTTCTTTCTCAGCCTCCAAGTTAATGGAAGCATTTCTTCTCATATTTCCCCGTTTCATTTTTGCTTCCCTTCTATACCCTGTTATTTGAGCAGGGAAATATGCGGTGTATCCCTCTCCTAATCCCTGAGAAGCCCGTCTGCCATGTGGCCTTGAGAGAAGGGACTGGAACGTTGGATGGGATCACCGGGGAAAGGCGAGATTCAGCAGCTTGCCTTTTAGTTTTGGCAGCCGGCTTACACTGGATTTAACTGAGACAAAGCATATGGTTCCTGACTTTGAAGGGGTGGGAAATTGCAGTTCGTCTCAGTCACAGCAAAGAAAAAGTGGTTCACAGAATTTACATCTCTCCTCTCCCTTTGCATTTGAGCAATTAAAAATGGTCTTAAGAAAAATAAAGTATTATATGAGGAGTTTATGGTGGAACAGTCTTGGATTTCACAAGTGACCTCCTGTCCGCCCCGGTGCTCATCTGAGAAGACAGTGGTCCGAGTGCCTCGATGTCTGTGGGCCTGACATTCGCCTCTGGACATGTGCATCCTTTCCCTGCACTGCCCACCAGCCTGGTGCCCAGCAGGCCAGAAGCTGGAGAAGTCCTGATGGGTGGACCATGTGCTTGTGCCTCTGCAGAGCTCAGCGGCCCTGACAGGACATGGGCTTTCTCCGTGAGGAGGGCTGGGTGGAGAGCGTCCCGGGGTTAGCGCGTGCCTGTCACACTCAACTCAGACCCAGCTTCTCATCTCACCCTTGCTGATGAACCTGCAGCCTTGATGCCTGACTCCTTGGCCTTGAGAAGGCCTCTGAGAAGCTCCCGAGGGCCCTCAAAGAGCTGTGTCTTCCTCCTCTGTGCTGCTTCTGGTTTTATCCGTGCCATCTGGGGCAATATTCTTTAATTTGCTTTTGTTTTGAATGAATCTCTTTGCTCCCTCTAGGACTGAGTTGTTCAAGGGAACAGCTTTGGGTTTCATCCATCTGTGGGGCACTACTGGGCATGGGAGGTTCTCGGTACACGTCTGTTCAGTTTGATTGAGTAGATGCTCAGCACTGAGGGCTGCAGGGATTGCCACTGAGGTGGAGACAGTATTGTCACTGTCCTGTTGCTTGTGCATACATTCCTGGGCCTTCTCACATACCCCTATTAGCTGTGCCGTCCTGTGCTCCTTCTGTGGCTCCGTCAGACAGTAGATGCAGGTTACCATAGTCACAGGCGTGGAGGTAACTTAGGGAGACTTTGCTGAACACAAATTAGTTAAAATGAAACAAAAAGTTAAAAGAGAGCATTGAACCAGGACCTGGGGTGGAGACTGAGTAAAACCGAGAGCAGACCGTTGCAGACCCACTGGTAGGCTTTTCTTAGAGATCAGCACCTTCTTCCAAGCTTGAGGATGGAGTTTGTGACCCAGGGAGGAAAGAAGGGGATTTCTGTGGACAGGGCCATGAGTCACACCCTAGAGCTGAACTAGAGCACAACCAGACCATGGGGCTCATTCTGGAGACAGAATGTTTGCTCTCAGCTTCTTGGTAGTGAAAGGGGGAAAGTATCTTTTCATCATCTGATAAAAAGAAGTATACTAGCTCCTAGGGGGCAAACCCCAAACCTTTTTTCCCTGGGAAAAAAAAAAAGGCTTTGTGTGGCTGTGCCCTAGGAAGGCTGTGTGACGTTAGCCTGCCATGCCTGTTCTGGACCTTGATTTCCACGGCCAGGCTTGCCAGCTCCCGGCTCGAGGCCTTCAGAACTGAGCCGCCCTAGTGGCTGCCCCTCCTAGAGTCAATCTCTGCAGTGAACCGAAGACAGCAGCTGCTGCCGCTGCCACCAGTTCCCATGACATCCCGAGGTGACCCTCGGTGCCCAGAACCTCTAAACCGTCTCAAGAAGGGTTGCCTGGATGATGTGTGCTAGCTCTCAACGGCGGCAGTGCTCTGGCGAGGAGCAGGGGCTCCTGTGGGAAGAGCTGCTCCAGGGAAGGTTCAGTAGCAAAGCTACAGAGCGGGGACAGCAGGTGTCCTCAGGGCCTCTGCAGAACCTGTCACGTGACAAATTGCTTGTGCCTGAGTTTATGTTTTGCAAATTGAGTTGAGAGGAATGGGTTGTGTTTGCTATGCTCTTCCACCTCCCCCAGCCTCCTAGTGAAGCAGACAGTTGTCTGCCTTCAAGCTTGCTCTCTGCCTTTGTTATCAAAACTGGCTATGAGGGCCGGGGATTTAGCTCAGCAGTTCAGTGGCCTGCCTTGCAAGCGCAAGGACCCGAGTTCAGTCCCTTGTACCAAAAAACAAAACAACAACAAAAAAAACTGGCTATGACCTGTCTCTGATCTGATAGATTCATTCATACTGGGGTGTGAAGAACGCACACAGCTTCAGGCCCTGCAGTGAATGGTGCACAGAATTTCAGGCATTTCGCTGAGGACACTACTCCCCGACCTCCGTGCGCACGCATGGACAGTGCACACCTGTGCTGCTACGACTGGCTGTGCCGGCAGGCAGTGATTTGACAGCTGTACTCACGGGTTTCTCAAAGTGCAGGCATGGCCTGATCTGAACAGAGTGCAGGTAGTTTCTTTGCAGCCACCAGCTCTCTTTTCTGCACCTGTTTAACCTGCCCTGCCAAGGCTTTTAGGTAGAGAGTTCTGCACACTTCTGTCCCCTGTCATGACTTAGGAGACTTTCCTTTGCTGGTTAATGCAAAGCAGTGAGGCTAAGCTGTTGCAGGATAATAATACTTGGCCACTGCCTGGAAGGAAATTGTTTTATGTAGCATGAATTTTCTGAAAATGATGCCTGGACCAGGGAGATGTAGGAATTTCAGGAACCGGCTGGGCTGGAGATAGTTGGCACAGGTGAGTCAGTGACGGTGACCCTCACAACCACAATTAGCAGCCACTCCCCTACTGTGTTGGGGGTCACCTTTATTAGGCACAGCCTGCAGTGCCTGTGTGCTGTTCCCTGGAAAGGAAGGAGCTGGAACCAAACATCCCAGCAGGAGGCAGGAAGGAGGAGGGGGAACTGCTGGGAGGAGAAGAGAGGGGAGGAACATCGCATACGCTGGGGTGGAGATGGCTCACTGACTGTGGTCCTGCTCTGCGCAGACCCATCCCATCTGTCAGAGCCAAACATTCTTTCCACCACGCCATCAGAATTAGCTGCGGTCTGAGTCATGTCAGTGCTTTCATGGCAGCCTCTGCTGGCAGGTTTTGGGACCTGGAAGCATGAGGGTCAGGATCAGGAGGGTGATCGCACATCCTGAGGGTTGCTTTTTGTGGGCGCAGTACAGTCCCACCAGGCATGACTGGAACTCTGTTGCTTAGTGAGGTCCCAGCTTTTCCTGGTCACTGCTGTGAAATCTTACAAGAGCACTGAAGCCTTACCGTGGGTTTGAATTATATGAGGTGCACTTAAGTAGGCCCCACCTCTTAGCGGCTACACTGTCAGGGGCCTTTGGGGGACACTTCCAAACCACAGCCGTTCCTGATGACTGTCGAGATCGGAACTTGGAGCTCCCCACTGGTTTTGGGAGAGCTTCCCCACCTTAACTGATGCCTAGGAAATGTGGTCTTGTGACCATCCTTTCTCCTTCCCTGCTGTTCTGGTCCCCATACTCCCACCCGCATAGCGGTGCTCAGGGAGGCTGGAGCACTGTGCGCTTGAGGGAGCAGATGCTCAGCACCCCTGCAGGCCACATCAGAGCACTAGAGCCCCTCCTCGCCTGAGCCCCTCGGAAAGGCGGGGTGCGTAGCTCACTAAGCCATGCTTCCTGCCCGTGTCTTTGCAGAATGGCCTGAATGGCTTGCATCTGGCCTCCAAGGAAGGCCACGTGAAGATGGTGGTTGAACTTTTGCACAAAGAGATCATTCTAGAAACAACAACGAAGGTATGTCTCATGGGAAGTGGGGGCTCTTTGCACTAAAAATTCTAGGCTGTTGGGGTCCTCTCCTGTTATCCCAGATACTGGCCAAAAAGCCAGTTCTTTGTGAGAGAAATCTAGACATGGGTCTGAGCTCGTCTTGCCCTTCCAGTTGTCTACTGGGTCGCCAAGTCCCTGACACCGCCTGAAACACGGAATCCTGTTTCCAGAAAGATTCAGTGGCCCTTTACTTTGCTCATCACCAGATTACAAATCTGAGTCTCTGACCTTTTTCCTGGTGGCTCCTTTGGCTGTTGATGCATACAGAGACCTGGAGTCCTACAAGCTTCTCAGTCAGGAGGCTCAGGTTCAATCCCAGCTGAGGCGCTTCTCTACTCTGTGAGTTTGGCCTTGTCTCAGTGTCTTCCCGTAACATGAGGAGCATAATAGTCACAGTGCAGTGGTGTACAGAAGGTTCACATACACATATAGGAAGGAATCCATAAATATTGGTGACTAGCTATTGAGGGCTGTGGGACAGAGTCTAGTTGCATTTCTTAAACTTGTTAAACAGGTACAGGTAGGATTTAAAAAGCAAAAGTAATCATTAAACAACAACAAAAAACAATCACCTGCATTTACTAGCGGAAGAACTGTCTGCTTGACTTCCCCTTTCTCTTTTGCCCCTGCTCCTCATGTTTGTTACTTGAGTTTCCCCCGGCCGTTCATTTCCCGTCTGTTATTTGGTAAGTGGGGTCTCACACACAGCCTCAATTTCAGCTCCTTGAAGCAGGCATTTTGCCGCCTCTCAAGCAGAGAACACAGAAGAACAATATGTAGAGAACACATATAATTTACGGGTATGAAGTGAACTACCAAAATATTATGAAGGTAGAATCATCTCTCATAGTAAAATTTTGTAATTTTCATGTCATTTCCCCAGTGTGAAAAGATCTCACTTGCGCTCATTGGTAAAATAAACCAAACTGCTCCTTCTGGCATTAGATGGGGACTTTTTTTTTCTAACCCTGTTGCCATCCTGTCCTTCTGTGAATGAAAGGAGGCAGTTATTATTTTTTTGATGCTCTCTTGTACCTGGCTGCAAGCAGTGTACCATCTGACAGGCTGTGCGCGGGCCGGGTGGCCTCTCTTCCCTGGCATTTCCCCAAAAACTGTGCAACATTATGCTTCAGCACTTTTGCTCTTTCCAAATTCCCCTCTTTTATTGTTATTTTGCAGTGAACACTTGGTGTATCTTTTTATTTATAACAATTTTAGGAGCCTGTGTGGTTTTGGAATGCCATACAGAGGGAAGGGGGGAAAAGGGAAACTCAAACTGTGGGCTACAGAAGATGTCTAACAGATTGAGGAGTTGCAGTGGGTCTCCCAAGCCTGGGAAGGATTAAAAATATAAAAAGCAAGAAGCCAAAAACTAATCCAGGTTCCTAAGCTGTGCTTAAAACTGTAAAAGCAGGGGGTAAACACTCCAGCTCCCCACCCCACCCCACCCCTCCTGCCAGCCCCTGAGGGGCTGGCAAGCAGAGCCAGCTTTCTCCTCCTGCAGGCCAGTGCTGCAGGCTCACTCCCCTCTGCTCACCTGCACTGGGTACTGATTCGGGCCTCTCCTTTCTATGGCTCTGTGAGTCCCTGAAAATGGCTACTTGTGAATCAAGATGCAGCACAGTGATCCCTCCTGTTCCTTGGAGGCCCAATTCCTCCACGCTGAGGGAGGGGCAGGGAACATAGAAGGTCACAGCCTCTTGGCTCCCTGGCCCAGGGCCAAGGTCTTCTTCAGCTTAGCAGGGTGCGCGCGCGTGCGTGTGTGTGTGTGTGTGTGTGTGTGTGTCAGGGTTATGGTGCATGTGCACACTGGGGCCATAGGCTCATTTTCCAGGATCTCCCCTCTGTCTCACTTCTCACCAGCGCTGCCCTCATCCCTAATGGCATGAGCCAAGATTTGCAACCTGAGTGGCACAGGGACTGCCTACCAAAGCAGAGAGGGCCTCATTTCCCCGTGGGTGGAGGACAGGGCCGGGTAGACTTCAGGCAGGAGGATTACAGGGAACGAAGTCTGTGACGTATGTACCTCCAGGGCAGTACCCAAGTCTCAGTTACCCTCATGCCTGGTCTTCTGCCCAATGTGCACTGCACAGTATGTGAAGGCCTGGGCTTGACATCCCCAGTGCGCAGCTCAGTGCCCCGGCCCCCAGTGGGGCTTCTGGTGCCCACAGGCCTGCTCTATTCAGTACCATAAATGAACCCGACCCAGGTGCCAGAGGTTCTCCAGTGGGCTCTTCAGACCTCCACGAACAACTGTTAGCTAGCATCTAGCATTTACTTCTGAGGTTTATTCTCTGAAGAATGTTTGATGAAGAACCTTTGTGCCTATCAAATAGGACTTAGGAGAAATGAAAGAGTTTTGGGGGCCAGGGATTTAGCTCAGCGGTTCCTCTGCCGCCTGCCTTGCAAGCGCAAGGACCCGAGTTTGATCCCCAGTACCAAAAAAGAAGAGCTTTGGGAGGCAACAAACAGGAAACTTCTGCCGGACACAGGCTTTGGCACCTACATAAACCAAAATTTAAGAAACAAAGACCCAAGCTCCTGCCAGTCCCCAGGTGCCCTTCACCTGTGGACACATGGACAGCACTCACCATGAGGTGGCCACAGAGGTTGGCCCGGGCCACTCAGTTTCCTCTTGGTGAGAAGCTCTGTATGCAGGTGACGATAACCGCAGTCCAGGGTTGGGTTAAGTCCCCACTTGTCACCTCTGGAGATGATCAGTACACACTAATGGAGTTCAGTTTTAAAACCACACACACTTGTCTTTTGCATCCTGAAGAACTAGTTCCAGGCTGCCCACAGGTACCAAGATCTAGGACATTCAGATCCTTTCTATCAAATAGCGCAGTATTTGCTCATAACTTCCACATATCTTCCAGTAGACTCTAAATCATCTCTGGATGACTTGGGATGTCTAATGCTGTGTAAGTGCTACATCAAGAGTTGTTACATGGCATTGTTTAGCTAATGATGACAAGGAACAGAGGCTGTACATGTTCAGTACAGGTGCCGTACTCCAAGGTTGGTTGAATCCTAGGATGCAGGATCCGAGGCCTCAAGGGGTAGACTGAACAATCAAACATGAGGTCAGCCGAAATCGCTGCTCCTTAAGCAGTGCAGAGACAGATGGGTCTGGCTGAGGTCCTGGGTTCTCCACCTGCCCTGTTTGAAGGGAGTTCTGAGTACAGCATGAGCCCAGAATGTTCCTGCATAGGGAAGCCAGTGCAGGTGGTACAGAGCACAGTTTGGGCCACGGTACTGGCCTTCTCACTCCAGCCTTCTGAGAAGCTGGGGAAACAAGCAAGCTCAGGAACACTACCTCGTTCAGCTTGTTATTGGTTCTTATTTTTCAAAATGTTAAAACAGTCATGTGCTTCATTTTTCTCCCAAGCTTTATTACCTCTGTTTCTCTCCTCTGCGATATGGTGAAAGCTTGTTCATTCGGTTTTCCTTATGAATATTTTGAGTCTTCTTTCTTTCTTTATATTTCCTTTGCCATCGATGTTCCCCAGTTTGTTTTTGTATTTTCCTTCTCTTCCCCGGACATCATGGAGTACTTCTCACCCTTTCTTTTCCTCTACCCTGCTCTCCCTCCCGTGCTCTGTGGCCTTTGTCCCCTCTGGCTCAGCGTTTGGCCCTTAGGAGAACAGGGTTGCAGATCCAGGACATCCTGCCCCTCCCCAGCTCCCACCTGCCAAGGGCTCTTGCTGTGCTAAGTGGAGCTTCAGGTCCAAGAGGCCAGCCTGCCTGCAGACCTTGCGGGCCTGCTTCATGATGGGGGAATGGACTGGGAGTCAGGTGTGCACCTGTTCTTGTGACGATGCTATTGACCACACGTTACATAGAAAATTTTCTCCCTATGCTTTCAATACTATTACGAGATGTGTGATGAGCCAGGAGCATGCATGCTCACTTTCCACCTCTTGTGACCATGAGCAAAGGCTCCCGGGACCACAGCCTTGCCCCTGAGCCCATCGGGGAACTTCCTCTGTCCCCCACTCTGTGTTTCAGAAAGGGAATACCGCTCTGCACATCGCTGCCCTCGCTGGCCAGAACGAGGTGGTCCGGGAGCTGGTCAACTATGGCGCCAACGTCAACGCCCAGTCCCAGGTGATGCCCCGCCTGCTCCTCTTTTCTGCCATGCAATGGGAATGAGGCCGCTGCATACACACACACACACACACACACGCACACACACGCACGCGCACACGCACGCACACTGCAACAGAGTCTAGGGTTATTAGCACCGTGTTATTTACCCTTTATCATTTTTTCATGGTTTTTCTACGCATTGGGATTGGGTTGTTTTGGACCCCGTGTCTGTTCAATAGATCAGGCACATATTTTTAGTTATGGCTCATTTGGGAGATAAACTTTGTGGATGCTGGGAGGGAGTTATGAAGAAGGGAGCAAAATCAGAAGGGAACAGAGGTGAAGGGGAGCTTCCCTGTCCTGGAGACGTGGCCCATTTCACATCCCTGACCCTTGTGGGCTGATGTGAATGGCTTTTCCTTGGGTTTACAGAAAGGCTTCACACCCCTGTACATGGCAGCACAAGAGAATCACCTGGAAGTGGTGAAGTTCTTACTGGAAAATGGAGCCAATCAGAATGTGGCCACAGAAGTGAGTACCCTGCAAGACGTCCTGGGTATGTGACGCCATTGCCACACATGTTGTAGGGATATCGAGGGTCACTACAGGTCACGGAACTGGTCTTGGGAGCCCTTGGTCCCTTCGAGTAGATGAGAGACCAAGTCAGGGGTCTCGGAAGGCCCATCACGTGGCAAAGAGGTGACGCTGAACTCAAGGACGCCACTCCCACCACAGTCCGCACAGAAGGTTGGCCGGTGGGGTGCGGGGTGTGTCGGGCTGACAAGGCTGCCTTGGGCCTTCCGAGAAGAGGTCTTGTTGCAAACCCCTGGCACACCCTGGGGCAAGTCATCTTGTCCTGGGAATGGTAGGACTGGGCCAGATGGAGCTGAGGTTTCTCTTGACCCTTGACACTGTATAGCTCAGCGACTGTATGACCCCACTTCATGGGGTCCCAGAGTACTCAGAGGAATATGCACCTGAGGGAATTAATATTAGTAACTCACAGTCCAGTGCCCTAGGCCTGAATTGTTTTGTAGCATGTGGTAGGTGTTCAGGAATACTCTGCCATCTTCAAAGATCAATACTGGTATTAGAAGATGGGATGTGAGGGAGCTTAGGCAAAAAAAAAAAAAAAAAAAAAAAAAAAAAAAAAGGAGTAAAAAGTCTCTCATAAACTGGCTACAGTGGTTCACAAACATGATCTCAGCCCTCTGGGGGTTCTGAGGCAGGAAGACTGCAACTTAGTTGCAGCCTGGGCAACTTAGTGAGTGACTTAACAAGGTTCTGCTGCAAAATAGAAAAAATTAAAAATGGATAGGAATATAGCTCCGTGCAAAGGCTCTAGGTTCAATCCCCAATGCCTTAAAAAAAAAAAAGATTCTCATAGCACATTCGGGCTGGAACCAAATGTAAAGAAAAATGAAATGATAAGAAAAATCACTGCAGACCCTGTGAGAAGATGGATCAAGCAAGTGGGACCCAGAAGGCCCTGGGAAGGAGGCGGTGTGTAAGCTGAGCCTGTGGGGGAGAGGGGTTCGCACACAGAGCAGCACCCTGGAGGAGGCGTTTCAGGCTCAGCAGAAGGTCTGTGTCTGGTCTCCAGGCCCAGCAGACCTGTCTGTTCCCCTCCTCGCAGGACGGCTTCACTCCACTGGCCGTGGCTCTGCAGCAGGGTCACGAGCACGTGGTGGCCCACCTCATCAACTACGGAACAAGAGGCAAGGTGCGGCTCCCCGCCCTGCACATCGCGGCCCGCAACGACGACACTCGGACGGCAGCCGTGCTGCTGCAGAACGACCCCAACCCAGACGTGCTCTCTAAGGTGAGGCTGCCGGCCGGACTCTGGGAGCCTGCAGTGGGGTAGAGGTCCCACGCATCCCTGCACATCCAGGGTCCCTGTGCACACCCACACAAGCCTTCACGGGATGGGTCCCAGGGTCCGGCAGGGCAGGAGATCTCCGGGAGCCTCGGGAGGTGTCATTCGGAGCTTTCATCTCCTCTACCACTACTTCTTTCCTTGGCAGGAAGGAAGTATCCTTTCCACACGGGGGCCGGGGAGTGGGGAAGGGGTCCCTAGCAGGCCTGGCCAGTTACTCATCTGAACAGTGTGATCTTAACAGGCACTGCCGACCCACTGCCGTACCTGCAGGCCGTGCTGTCTGTGAGAGTCGATTTGCACTTTGCTCCTCACCCCTGAGCTCGGTCTGGGCCGTGGGTGCCTGGGCATGGGGGTGGTGTAAGGAGACACATGGGATCAGGGCGGTCAGTCTGCCTTGGGCAGGAGCTGAGTCATCTTAGGATCGTGAGCTCTACACACCTTCATTTATGAATGCGATCTCCTCAGAAGTAGCCGTCCAGGGGAGCAGGCTAGGACTTGGGGTAACCTTGTGAGCTGAAGTGTGGTCACCCAGAGGGGCACCTCACTTTGGAACACAACTTGCCACAAGTGTCTCTGGCCCCGTCAAACTCTGTTGTACGTCTCGGGTCCTCCGGAATCCCGGGCTGCACTGCGGAAAGGTGCTGGTGGGCGCAGGTGGCGAGTTTCCTCTCTCTGTTGTGCACAGACGGGGTTCACCCCGCTCCACATCGCCGCCCACTACGAGAACCTCAGCGTGGCCCAGCTCCTCCTGAACAGGGGTGCCAGCGTCAACTTCACCCCGAAGGTACTCTCACTGGCTCTTGTTCCTGTCTGGAGCCTCTTGCTCAGGCACCGTGGAGCCATGCATGCTGCCCAGAAGCCTAGGGAAAGCAGCCTGGTACTGCCAGGCCCCTAGTCATCCTGAGGGCTCGAAAACACAAGAGCACATTCCCCTGCTTACCATGGGAAGCATGGACTCGGTTCTCAGATACGCGGCTGTCAGCTTCCCTCGGGGGTGAGGATGGGGCTGGGCTGCCTGGGGGATCGGCTGCCACACCCCCAGGCCTCACGGGGTCCTCCCGGGGAGAGTCGACCCCACGTGGGTCAGAGAGGCTGTAGGTTGGGCACGGGTCAGTGTAGGGGCACACGGTGCATGGGGAGGAGGGCCCCGCCCTGACCACCCTGCTCCTCCCTCCAGAATGGCATCACCCCACTGCACATCGCCTCCCGCAGGGGAAACGTGATCATGGTGCGGCTCCTGCTGGACCGGGGGGCACAGATAGAAACGAGGACCAAGGTGGGTCTCCTGGTGTCAGGGGGGGCCTGCAGCGGTGGACCCAGGTACAAAGCTGGGCTGGCTGGGAAGCGTCAGCAGATCCTCGTGGCCTCTGACGGGCGCCTCCGGGCTTTCTGTTTCTCACCGTCTTTTAAAGGACGAATTGACACCACTCCACTGTGCAGCTCGGAACGGGCATGTGCGCATCTCAGAGATCCTGCTTGACCACGGGGCACCCATCCAGGCCAAAACCAAGGTCTGTGCCTGCTTCCTGGGAGAGGCTTCAGGTCACATGCACTGGGAGGCATTCCCATGTCTGGAAAGCAGAGGTGCTGCTACAACCAACATGCATGTAACATTTATCGCCAAGCTTGTCACATAGGAGGCCCTCATTATGATCTAGACCAAAGCTGGCAAGCTTCTTATCTAAAGGTATTAAGTAAGCATTTTTAGGCTTTTCAGGCTGCTCTCTCTGTTGCAATGATTAAAATGTGCCAATACAGTGGAAGAGCAGCCCTGAACAATATGCAAACTAGCGGCTGTGTGTCAGTAAAACTTTATTCCCAAACTCAGATAGCAGGCCACATTCGGCTCCCTGGCTGAAGTTTGCCTACTTCTCTAAATCATTCTGTATCTCTTTCATTCTAGCTCCGGGAAAGACAGGAGCTAAGAACCCTAGAAATTTGTAGAGCTTGGGCCAGATGGAAGTGAAACTAGAAAGAAAAAAGCCTGACTGGGCAGCATGGTCACACATGTCTGTAATCCCAGTACTCTGGGAGGCTGAGGCAGGAGAATTACAATTGAGCCCAGCCTGGGAAGTTTAGCAAATTAAATGCTGTCTTGAAGTAAAAATAAATAAATAAAAAGGTTGGGGATGTATGAAGGTCAGCATGAAGGCCCTGGGTTCGATCCCTAGTACAGCCCAAGAAAGAAGGGAGGGAGGGAGGGAGAGAGAGAGAGAGAGAGAGAGAGAGAGAGGAGAGAGAGAGAGAGAGAGAGAGAGAGAACAGTAGCAAGGCATAGTTGCACACACCTGTAATCCAGCACTCTGGGTGGCTGAGGCAGGAGGATTAAAAGTTCAAGCCAAGCCCAGTCTGGGCAACTTAGCAAGACCTTGCCTTAAAATTAAAAATTTAATTTAAAGAGGGCTATATACGTAGCTCAATGCAAAGACCCTGGGTTCAATGCCCAGTAACACACACACACACACACACACACACACACACACACACGCTGTTCTTCTCAGACTCATTAGGAGCTGAAGCAAAGCTCATTTCTAGGTTCTAATATGAAAATTTGCATTTCCATGAGGGGCTAAGGCTGTAGCCCCACAGTGCTGTCAGTACCTCCTCCATATCCTCTGCCTCTTCTCTGGGGGTGACTTTTAAAACCTGTTACATTAAAGCAAGGCAGAAACCAGGCCCACTCACAGCTATGGACAGGGCAAAGAACAGCAGAATTTAGACCTGAGCAGTGTTTTGCCTCCTTCCGTCCCTCAAGACCACCTTGATTAAGGACTGCTGAACATGTTGCCTGCCTTCCCTGGGCGCTGGGGGCATTGTAGCAACCTTAGGCACGGTCCCTATCCTAATTAAGAAGCTGGTGAGTCGGAAGGAAAGGCACATACGCCTCTAAGGTGCTGCCACATGGCAGGCGCTGCTCAGTCAATGTGGGAATAAGGCCTCCTTCTGAGGTACAGATCAGGGCCTGGGCTGTACAGGGGAGGCTTCGTGGAAGAGGCGCATGGCTGCAGGAAGTGGACGATTTGGCCTGATGGGAAGGAGAATGTTCTAGTCCAAGGCCAGCAGGAAGAGGGAGGCTCACTCGGGATCCAAGTTGGAGGGTAGGAAGGGACATTGTCACTCCAACTTGTCACCTGGTGTCAGATCCAGGCCCCATTGCCCTGAATTTCTGTATTCTGTCCCTAAAAGCCTTTCTGATCACTTGTTTTTCTTTTTCATCCAGAATGGCCTATCCCCAATTCACATGGCGGCTCAGGGAGACCACCTCGACTGTGTCCGGCTTCTATTGCAATACAATGCAGAGATAGATGACATCACCCTGGACCACCTGACCCCGCTCCACGTGGCAGCACACTGCGGCCATCACAGGGTGGCCAAGGTCCTTTTGGACAAAGGGGCCAAACCAAACTGCAGAGCCCTGGTGAGTCGGTGGCGATTGGAGAAGGGGCTGCAGGGCCCAGGGCAGAGGGAGTGGCCCAGAGCTGCCAGCCCAGGCCACGGCTGGCACAGGTGCCCCAGCGACACTGCTCGTGGTCAGGGCTGGGTCTGTGCCCTGAAGAGCTGACTCACAGTGTGGATATGGGCTGGGGCCCCGGAAGTGATAGCAGCTGCATCAGGCTGCCTCCTGCAACCCCGTTCCTCTCCCTCATCACCCAGGCATCCGTGGGCTCGGCAGAGAGCAGGTGCTTGGCCCCTCCTGCTCTTGCCCATTGCCAGAGGAGAGCGAAGGGCCTGGAGTCCCCCAGAGCAGCAGAGGGTGGCTCGTGATGCATTCGCTCGCTGGTGTCCCTGGAGCACTGGCCGCAGCCCCACCCTTGGCTGTCTGAGGTTGCCAACTGCTTGGTGGCTGCCCTGTGTGGTCCTGTGTGCCCTCCCTGGCCCCCACCACTGGGCACTGTAGCTTCTGAAGTGTCTCTGCACGCTGCCACCGTGAGGGGAGGGCACAGACCGTCCCCCGTCTCCCTAAACCACTTTCCCTTTATTGAGAACCAGGCCCTGAGGGGATAAAGCCTGAAAAGACAAACAAAACTGAACAAACAAAAAGCCCTGCCCCCGTGGAGTTTCTATTCCAGAATACCACACTTCAGAGCAGAAACCCATCTCACTCGAACCATCTGCAGTTTCGGGGCAAAAGGAACATGATTTACTTCTGAAAAGTACTCTTTATTGTAAATTTAGCCTCAAGGGAGCTTTGCAGAGCTGAGCTGGCTCTCAGTGCATCCAGAAATGTGATAGAATATTTTTAAAAGGTTTCTACACAGTATGTTCAGGAACATGCCCTATACACAAAGCAAACAGGTACCTGTTGTGTGATTTACTCTTATAGACATCACAGATTAACCTGCAGATGTGCATTTATTCATTGGTTTGGGGCATCAGGGGCTGCTGTCCTGTCCCCAGGCGCCCCTGGGCTAGTGTGTAACCCTGAAATCTGTCTCCCTTCGTGTGGGGCTGCAGAACGGCTTTACCCCCCTACACATTGCCTGCAAGAAGAACCACATCCGGGTCATGGAGCTGCTGCTCAAGACGGGGGCTTCCATCGAAGCAGTCACCGAGGTAGGGCATGGACCCTGGCTCCGCGCTGGCCTTCCTCACTGAGCCTCGCCCTCTCCGCGAGCTCATTCTACTTCAGAGGTGCCTGTGGCTGCACGAGTGTGTGCATGTGTGTGTGCACAGTGTGCCTGGTTAACAGAGGTGGGACTGAGACAAGGGGACCTGTGTCAAGTCTCAGAGAGCTTTGCAAGATCCCGAGCAATTCTTTTGAGTGGTCGAAGTGGACCAAATCTTCCCTGCAGTGATTTTGCTCCCTGGTCCTTTTTTCTGAGAGCAAACCTGCCTCACTTAGCTACTTCCTCTTGGAGAAGCAGCCACAAGCACCGCGCGTTAGATGGAAGCCCTAGGTGTTGCTGCCCTGTGCTCCAGGAGGCCCCACTCACTCGCGCTGTTCTTGTCTCTTCCAGTCTGGCCTGACCCCTCTCCATGTGGCCTCCTTCATGGGCCACCTGCCCATCGTGAAGAACCTCGTGCAGCGGGGGGCCTCCCCCAATGCCTCCAACGTGGTAAGCCTGTGGGGACAGTGGGGGTCCTGGTGGGGTTCCTGGTGGGGCAGCTCTGGTAAGGGCTCCCGGAGTCTCCCTTCTGCGGATAGAGGTGAAACTCTCCGATGGCAAAGGCCTCGGACGTGGGTCACACATTTCTCTGTACCAGTGGTGGTGAGCCTGTGGCATGCATGTCACCGAGGGCCATTTGGACCATTGAAAGCTCTGAAAGGTTCGCCATCCGTGCTCAAGCCAGTGCTCTCCAATTACATTTGTCACACATCTGTGAGTCTTGGAGGCTTTATTTTGGACAGTATTTCGGAACTTCTGTGAGTGTTATCTGGAAACATGTTTACATTTTTGAGTATTCATTAGCTCTGAGATTTACTTTTAAGATTACCTAGAACACATAACGAACATAAGCATGCACGCACACGCACATACCCACATGCAGCAGGCTAAAGGGCTTTGTGCTGGAGCAACTCCATCTCTTGGACAAAAGCCTACCGAGCTGCCCCAGCCTGACACTTTGGAGTTCTGCATATATCCCCTGACAAGCCCAGTGTGTGTTAGCAGTTCTGTGACTTTGTTATTTTACAGAAAGTAGAGACCCCACTACACATGGCAGCCAGAGCAGGGCACACAGAAGTGGCTAAATATCTGCTGCAGAACAAAGCCAAAGTCAACGCAAAGGCCAGGGTGAGTCCTGGGGCTGGGAGAGAGGGGCCTGCAGTGGACGCAGGTCGAGCCAGGGAATCCATCCTCACTAGAGGCTGGGCCTTGGGATTGCAGCTCTGTGATCACCTGTCACTCCCATGTAGGTCGCAGGAAGCTCAGATTCTGCTCTGCAGGGGCTTTGACGAGGCCAGAGAATTTTTTTTTTTCTCTTCAAAGTTGAATTTCTATGGAATAACAAAAGTCCAAGGAGTGTTTATTGGGCTGTTGATTACTCGTGGGATGAGGGAAGCCGCTTTTGAGACAGTGTCATCAAGGATGATCAGTCAGGACCCCTTGTTATAAACATTCGTGAGGTGTGGGGCAAGTGACAGCAGCTGAGTTTGCAAGTGGACGGTCTGTTCATCTGGCTCCCCTGATCGCAGTTGGCAGAGACTCCCCTTGTGGTTAGAACCAGATCTGTTTGGGCCACGCCTTCCTGTGAGCCCAGTAAAGCAGAGGTTTCATCTGTGGAGGCCCTGTGCCATCATCCATAAATAGTAAGAGGAGTAACCTTCCCCGTCAGCAGTTCAGGCTCTCCCATGACACCTGGTAGAGAGAAAATCAAACTGAGGACAGGAGGGCGCCTAGAAAGGACCGCGGAGATGGCATAGCATTGGGGTGTACCGAGTGTCTGTGGTCATGAGACACTTTGTGAGCACCACCTGCTTGGTCTTGACCCTGACTCTCTGAGGGAGATTTCGTTATTCCCATCTTCCAGATGGGAGGGCTGAGCGTTTGAGCGATTAAGTAGCAATAAACTCTCTTGAAGAGTTGCCCAATTTTAAAAGCTGGACCACATTAGTTTGGGTAACTCAGAGATGTGATTCCAGTTCCAGCTCTGTATCTTCTTGGCCTTGAAATCTTGAGAAAGGGACTTGGCCTCTCTGGCTGGGGCAGGAAAATCACAATTTCCAATCCAGCCTGAGCAACTTTGAGATCCTGTCTCAAAACAAAAATTTAAAATAACAAGGGCTGTGGTTGTAGCTCAGTGCAGAGGCCCCCACCTCTCCCTAGCAACCCCACCCCCGCCGAAAGCTGGCTTGGGTGACATTTCCTGTTCTCTGCTGTCCTTCTGGGGTCCAGGACGACCAGACCCCCCTTCACTGTGCAGCTCGAATTGGCCACACAAACATGACACAGCTCCTGCTGGAAAATAATGCCAATCCCAACCTGGCCACCACAGCCGGCCACACGCCCCTGCACATTGCAGCCCGGGAGGGCCATGTGGACACGGCCCTGGCCCTGCTGGAGAAAGAGGCGTCTCAGGCCTGCATGACCAAGGTACAGCCTTCCCTCTCCTACCCTGAATGACAGCAGGAGTGCTGGGCGCAGCGTCAAGTGCCTGTAGTGCACTCATTCAAGGCCAGCCTGGGGTAGGAAGACCCCAGCAGCTGGGCCAGGGTGGCACCCCTAGGACTGTGGTCACTGAGCCCACAGTGTTGTCTGCTCTCCAAGAAGGGGTGGGGAGCCATGCTCTGCACCCATGTGGGCTTTGCGAGTACCTCCCAGGCCAATCACAGGCAGGAGTAAGACTCAGCCCTGCCTCCGTGAGATGACAGTTGGTGACAGTCCCCACGGTGTGCCCCGTACACAGCCACAGATGGTGGGGCCGGGGTCGGGGTGGGGTTGCACTGTGGGCTCCTGGGGTTTTGGCCTCGGTGGGCTCCCTACTGAGGTTTCCTTCCTCCGACTGGCACCCCCATGCTGCTAAATGGGGACAGTGCAGGGCGGACAGTGCCAGCTCGGGGGTCCTGATGGCCTGTGTTTCTCCTCAGAAAGGATTTACCCCTCTACACGTGGCAGCCAAGTATGGGAAGGCACGGGTGGCCGAACTGCTGCTGGAGCACGGTGCCCATGCGAATGCTGCTGGCAAAGTGAGTGTGGGCAGAGAATCAGGATGGGGGGTGCGCTGTTGTGAGTCCCCTCCTGCCGGGCAGCCCTGATGGGTGGAGAGCTGTGTAGGCACAGCAGCCTCTGGAGAGAGAGAGCCGTCTTTTCACCAAGGGCCCTGTCCTGTGGGAAGGACATTCCCTGGGCCCCCTGAGGGGTGAGATGCCCCTGGGTCCTGCTGGATGTAGCTTTAGTGACTCCCAGGCAAGACTGGCTTTGGACAGATTTTTCTTTTTAAGCACTATTTTAGTGATTAGGGTGCTGGGAATAGAACCCAGGCCTCACGTGCTCTGCCTCTGAGCTAGGCCCCAGCCCAGCTTTGGATGGGTTTCTAGCCAGATTGCACCCATATAAAGTAAGTGTTGGGGATGCCTGCATCCCCAGAGGGTCCCCTGTGGCGGGTACACCTCAGTGAGGGCTTCCTGTCTCCTGTATCCTCCTCTGCAGAATGGCCTCACACCCCTGCATGTGGCTGTCCACCACGACAACCTGGACATCGTGAAACTGCTGCTGCCCCGGGGCGGCTCCCCACACAGCCCTGCCTGGGTAAGGCCCTCCGGTGCGGTGCTCGGTGCTCGGTGCTCCTTCTCACCTCTGACCTCACTCCTCCTCGCATAAGTGCTGCTGTCTGGGGACCAGGACAGGGATGGGGTGTGGTGACACCTCCCACAACAGCTCCTTCGGGCAGGTGGGATCTGCTGCACTCACAGAGCGTGTGTCCCAGGTGGCTGTGTGCCCCCCGAGTCTGGTGATTGGGCCGTCACAGGTCAGCGTGCCTGCAAAGTTCCTGAGCCTTGGTCCAGGAATCCTGCCCCGGGACTACAGATGGGGGTGACTCTGAGCTGGGCCTGTGGTCATCCCTGGAGGAGCTGTGGGGGTGCAGGGATCCTGGGGGACCCATGAAGCCAAGCCTCTTCTGCATGTGTGTGATAGACACAAAGCCGGTGGCTTTCTTTGAATGAGACACACCTGCCTGTACCTCTCCCATGGTGGACAGGCATCCAGCTTGCTGGCCTCTTGTAGGAGGCCAGGACAGGGTAGAGAACAAGACTAGGACAGAGCCAGGTGGAGGGAACAGGTTGCCCTCCACCCACGGGACAGCAGCAAGGACTGTGCAAGGCTCTGTCTGCAGCACAGGACGCTGTGGGGCCGGTGGCCAGAGCAGAGGTACAGGGCACACCAGTCCTGCCCCCAGGAGGCTGCAGAGAAGGAAGTCCAGGGGTGGGGGACCCTGTGGGCTTCTGGCAGCAACCCTCAGCCTTGGCGGGTGGAGTCCGTGCTGCGCTTCCATGAGTTTTCCCTGCCTGGATCAGATGCTCGTCTCGACCTCAAGGCATTGCTTCCCGGGCTCCCGGGGCTCCTGTCCCTGCTGCTGTCATAGCAGCCCCACGTCACTGTGCAGAGGGAGCATGTGACCCTAAGATGTCGGCTTACTCCTGCTTCTAAAAATAGGAAGCCAGACTTCCCTCCTGCTCCTCCTCCTCCTCACTCGCCTGCTTGTACAAAAGGAGCCGGAGCCAGGTCCGTGGTATTTAAAGAGAGCTAAATGCAAGCATAAACCCTGTGCAGATGGGTTTTGTTTCCATGGCAAAAAATAGTTCCCAAAGTAGTCTGGCGGTTTCGTAGAACCTCACATGCAGATCGCTGCACACCCAAACCAAACCCCCCCCCCCCC